TTATAAAAATCAAAACACCAAACAAATTTTTGAAAACCTGACCTAACATTTTCTTACCTTTAAAAATCATAAAATTATAAAGAGTTTACTTCATTCAAGTTTTCGGTGTTTAATAAATTATGGTGCTGTTTTCGGTTTTTAGTAGATGTTGTGTTGATTTCGGTACTCAGATGAGAAGGGATCCATGAACTCAAAAGTGGTTCTTAACATTTTTACAAGCTAGGAAACATTAGGTAAAGTTTTCAAAAGTTTGTTTGGTGTTCTTTTTAAGTACGTAGAGGATTTTACCCCACATTTTCCCTCTACTTCACAGCCCTGCCCACTTTGAATAATTAATATTATGGGTAATTTTATCGTTTAAAATACTCAAAAAATAAAATTCCAATAGAAACGTTATAGAATTAATCGATTATTATTATTATTTTTTCTCTATACAAGAATCAATATATACGGTAAGTAGGTGTTGGTAACTTCTAAATATTAACTGCCATGTGCACTTGATATTAGGTGATATTCTAAAGTCAATGGTAATTACTTTTTACAATACAAAAATGTCTGAGTACAATATTGCATTAAATAAAAGGAATTGGAATTTTCTGGTGAAAGGTCCGGCCCCCGATCCGCCCTTGTAAATAAAGAAAGGTGTGAAGATTTTGTTCTTAAAAATTTTAGCTCTGAACAAGGAATGTGTTGTAAGAAACAACAAACTTTTCCAATAAGCTGGATTGTGAGTAAAGTAGAATGCTTTGTACAGTATTATGAAAAAACCTGACAAGTGGAGGCCTCAAGTATGATAATCCCATTTTATGACCAATGGGAGCAAACAACTTGTGTGAACTCTACCATTAAGTAACTCTTCTATGCTCATTACAGAGTGCATTTAGTGTATCAGCAAGTCATACTATCAGATGAACAGGGCTAAATAATGAAAAAAAAAAATGCTTTAAAGAGCAATTCTCGTCTATTTAGTTTTGAATCCTCAGATTTCCACAAGTCGTTAATTTTCTTGAATCCCAGAAAGGATTCAGGAAAACAAAGTCTCCAAGTTCAACCCTGGTCAATAAGTGCATTCAATTGGAAATCCTCTTCAACCATAAAAGGAAGTTCATATTCCTACATCTCCAACTCATGCAAATTTACAACCCCAGTACAGGTGGTGCGAGGGATTCAAGGTCATTACTTCCTCCACTCATTCATAAAATGGGATTTCATACTTTAGTCCTTCATTTATACCTTGTGACAAAGAAACTTATGTTCACCCAATTGTCTTCCTAGCTGAAAATTGACAACAGCTAGGCAGGACTAAATTTAGCAATTAAGATCCTCATTCAAATGTACTTGTATAGTATATCTATGGAAATTCTGCTTCCATTGTGTCAGAATCACTCTTCCTAAGGTTCTCCCAGACTGTGTTCATTGTCATACTCTGAGGTTAAACATTCTTAACTTTTATCAAATCCATTCCATATCCTTGCACTGAGGATGTTGTTACAGATATGAGATGGTTTATAGTCCCAAATATTTAAACATCTGTGAGAGAATGAGATTTGATAGACTAGTATAAATAAGCAGTGACATTAATTTTGGTTCTCTACCTTTGTCAATAAAGTGTTTCACTTTTTAGGGGTTGATATAGCTTATTGTAATTGCAAATTGTAAAATCTTCCTCCTTAGTGATCTCTGAGCTTGACCATGTGCAATGTTGAAAAATAGTGCTCATTTTAAGCCTAGGAAAATTTTTCATCTGTGAAAATTTTTGTGATGGATGGTTTTCATAAAAGTTTTCCACAAAAAAGGAAAGGGATAACATTTGGCTATTAAATATTGAATGTGGAACTTATATTTCCCAATTTTAAACCCATGTAAAGTACATTCCAAACCAGTTTGACTTGATCAAAACAGAATACAGTACTGTACAGTGTTTCCTTCAGAAGGGAAAGCAGAGTTCCTATTTCAAAACTTTCAGTAAGTATTGGAAGGTAGAATGATTTAGATATACTGTACTGTATAATACTGGTATGCTGTATCACTAATTAATACAGTACTTGGACTACTGTGATAAACACTGCGTGATGAGATTTCAAATAAAAGTTGCCAATAAAAAAATAACAATTCTCAACACTTAACCTTCTAAAACAGAGGCCGCCAGACATTAGCTGAAGGCCCACCTGAAGGAACAAGAATGTTGTCGGGTGGAGGTCTGGTGACTAAATTGAAGTGAGTTTAGAAATAAGACCTATGAACCAAAGTTGATCTTTTGGACTCGGTGTGTCTAAATCGTCACCGAGTTCGTTACTTGGAGCAATTTTTTTATCATTTAGCCATTAAATTATATACTCTTTGTGAAGGGCAAAGGAAGAGTGTTTTGTGGAAGTGTTCCTACAAGTGACTTGCATCATCCTATAGGTCATTTCTCTTAATTGTTGATAACACCAGCATTCATTTAACCCAGGACACTTTTGTTTTATCATTTGCAATACAGTGACCCCTCGTTTAACGAACACCTCGGTTAACGTAATTTCGATTAACGAACTGCCTTCCATAAGGATCTTCAATTCGTTTAACGAAAAAAATTTCGCTTAACGAACTTCTTACGAACCGACCTCAACATGTTTTCGCTTGCACTGACCGGGCAACCAGCTTTAGTATCAGTCCGCCAATACATTAATCGGTTCTAGGGCTTAAATTCCTTACTATTTTTGTAAATATCAAGAAGTTTATACTATTCAATAATTTTAAAAGTTTAATATTCAATTTTTTAGTCATTTTAACAATTATTGAACATAATTGAAGGTAAAGTGACTAGTTTAATGCGCGGCATCCAGCCTCTTAACACAGCAAACAGGCGTCAGTCTCTCTCTGTTTTCACTGGAGGTAACATCTTGCTTGAGACTCTCTTCAACTAAACGCTTTTTTTCTGTGTTTCCAAGCAAATTATTGGTCATTTTGAAAATTATTTTACATATTGACAATATATAGTGCAGTGCAGTGTTACTTTAAAGAAAATATTCTTTATTTACAGCTAGTTTAACTTTGAAAAATACGTGTTGCCATTGTTTGAATCCAGCATGGGGCCTAAGAGATCAAGAAAAGTGATTTCAATCCAAATAAAGCAGGAAATAATAAAAAAACACGAACAAGGTATTAAATCAAATGCGCTATGCAAAGAATATGGCATGTCGGCATCAACTGTGTCGACAATTCTTGCACAAAAAGACAAATTTAAGGAAGTGAACGTGAGAGACAAATCTACAAGAGTGTTTAAAAGTAGATCCCTAATCGTAGAAACTGAGAGGTTACTTATCATCTGGATTAGGGAAAAACAGATGAAAGGTGATTCAGTTTCTGGTGATTTCATTTGTGAAAGAGCCAGGGAGATTTATGAACATTTAAAGACAGATCAACCTGGTTCTTCAGGAACAGAATTTGAAGATTTTCGGGCTAGCAAAGGCTGGTTCGAAAAATTTAAGAAAAGAAGTGACATTTTAAGTGTTGTTAGGCATGGTGAAGCTGCTAGTGCTGATAAAGAAGGGGCAGCAAAGTTTTTAATTGAATTTAAAAAACTGATGGAAGAAGAAAATTATCTTCCACAGCAAGTGTTCAATGTTGACGAAACTGGGCTGTTCTGGAAAAAGATGCCCAAAAGAACATTCATCACCAAGGATGAAGCCTCTTTACCTGGGCATAAACCCATGAAAGACCGTCTCACTCTATTGCTTGGTGCCAATGCTTCAGGGGATTTCCGACTGAAGCCTATGCTTGTCTACCACTCTGAAAACCCCAGGGTGTTCAAGCAACAGAAAGTGGTAAGAACAATGCTTGGAGTTTATTGGAAGTCCAACCGTAAGGCATGGGTGACAAGACAGTTCTTTAATGAATGGGCTGTTGATGTGTTTTGCCCCTCTGTCAAGAGCTACCTAACCACCAATAAACTTCCTTTAAAGGCTCTTCTCCTCATGGATAATGCTCCTGGTCATGACCCTGACCTTGCCAGAAATTTGGAGTATAAATTTGACTTTGTGAAAGTGTTGTTTTTGCCTCCAAACACTACATCACTCATACAGCCAATGGACCAGAATGTGATCAGCAACTTCAAGAAGTTGTACATGAAGAAAATGTTTAGGAGGTGTCATCAGGCAACTTCCATTGATCCTGAACTAACACTGAAACAGTTCTGGAAGACACAATTCAACGTCCTGGAGGCTGTAAAATTGATTGTGTCATCATGGCAAGAAGTCTCCAATAGAACCCTCAATTCTTCATGGAAAGCACTGTGGCCATCAGTAGTCCATGATTTTGAGGGATTTGAGGATGACACAGAGTTGGACCAGGAGATTGTGTCCATTGGTCAGTCATTGGGTCTTGAAGTGGAGGAGAAGGATGTGGAAGAGCTTGTGATGTCTCATGAGGAGGAACTTACTCCTAATGACTTGAAGGAACTGGATGAGATGTTACGGGTAGAGGCTGACAGTGGTGAGGAGGAAATTGAAAGTGATGACCATATGTCAGCTAAACAGTTGAAAGATGTGATTTACCACTGGGAGAAGTTCAGGGAACTGGCTTCAAAGCACCCAGAAGTGGAAAAAACTGAACTAACTTTGTGTCATGTTGAGGACTCAGTGGTCTCCTTCTTTAAACATAAGTTAATGGTGAGGAGGACAGATGCCCCACAGACCACAATTGACACTTTCTTCAGTAAAAGGCAGAGGGAACAAGATGCTAGCCCTCAGCCTTCCACTTCAAGAAGGAGAGAGGATGTTCATGGTGGAGAATCTGTCAGTCCAGAGGTTCCTGACATTTTCATGGAAGGTGACTCACCTTCCAAGAAGCAGTAAAATGCTTCTCCTCCACCTCCACTTCCTTCTCTTCTCCCTTCTCCTCCTGCACCTCCCACTTCAAATGCACATCATCACCATCATCCAGGAGCCTTCTACATACACACCTCAAAGTAAGTAAATTTTTCCGCCATTTTTGTTGAAGTTAGGAAATTTTCGGTGAGCTGGAACCAATTACCCAAAAACCCATTGAAACAATGGTTTCGGTTAACGAACGTTTCGGTTAACGAACGACCTTTTGGAACGGATTGAGTTCGTTAACCGAGGGGCCACTGTATCTCCAACATAATACTGTATTATGACTTTCCTTAAGAAGCTTTAGCTAATTAAAAAATATAAAACCATTTTAACAATAATGATATGAACTCATAAAATCTTTGTCCTATTCACTTGGGAACAATTACTGCCATCATATATCAATAACCTGTCTATCAAAATGTTATAATCTGGATTCTATTGAATGCCACTTATATACTTGTACTAAATACTGCTAACTTGAGTCTTCATTCTTTTCCTTTTCATCACTATTTTCAATCTCTTTTTTTTCAAACTTATCCCCATCTTTCTTGTCTCCTTTCTCCTTCTCCTTGCGTGTGTGACTCTCATAAGAGCTTCTGGCATGCTGAAGAGCTGACTCAACACGAGAGGCAGTTTCCCTGAATGCATCCGGTAGGTCGGGAAGGTCAGGAAGGTCGATGGAAGTGATGTGGGAAGAGAGGCGCTTGTACATGCTCGGTTCCCGTTGCTTCCTGTGCCAACAATGAGATAGAAATACAAATAAAACTATTGTCAAATAAAAGAAACATACAGATGTTCCTTCAACACAACGATTTAGTAGATATTCATGACAGGTAATACAATATTAACAAGGCATATTTTCATTTACAGTCATCTATCTATTGTGCATCACAAAACTATCAGTAATTGAAGTGCAATACAGTATTGGAAACCACATTCAAGGCATTTAGTAAAGAAAAACAAAAAATATCAAATGATGCACTTAAAAATTGTCAATATATTTGTATACTGTACGTTTTTCTTCCCACAGTAAGACTTGGATACACTTATTTTCAGAATGTCGATATACACAGTAGGTATACTCAATGAATGAATGATTTAAGAAGTAATGCTGGGAGTACTACAGTACAGTAGTTATGAACCAACGCAAGTGTATCAGGTGACAAGCAGCGGTGAATGTGACAATAAAATTAATATGCCAGGTGTAATAAATACATCAAGTATCATTGGATTATAATTAGTAATGTATGCATCACCCAAGAGGTGTAATATGGTCGACCAATTAAAAGTAACGCTGGAGATAAAGCTAGCAAGCAATACTGGATACTGTACAGTGACTTATGAGCAGTATACTGGTGTTACTCTTTACCTGTAATTTATGTTAAATTTTGAGTATATCTCCTGAATACATGACACAAAAAAGTAGCTTCATAAAAAAAAAAAACATAAGTATCGAAGACATTCAGTAGTGAGTACGGTACTAAATTCTAAACGAGGTCAGAAGATTAATCAATATACACAGCACAGAGAATAAAAAAATCTACTCCTTGGCATCACTGTACCAAAAATCCAATTACCACATTTACTTTTGGAGTAATGGAGTCATCAATGCACATTCAATCTTTAACTAAAAACAATTACTGTACAGAGAGAAAAATCACAAATAGAATATAACTTATGGTACTTCTTAACAACTACGCACCACAGCAGCTAGAAGAGGAGAGAGAGCGGGGAGAGAGGGTAGGAAAAAGAGGGGGAGAGCAAAAACAAAATGAAAAACAGTTATGAAATATGTGGGAAAATAAAAATCTTACTTACATCATACAATCTGGGTGCAACTAAATGGTCAGATAGGAGCTATTTTGGTCTGAAACATGCAAGAGAGAGAGTAATAAATAATACTAGACACAAAAAGCATAAATTATCAACTTAATACAATAATACAAAATGAAAAACAACATTATACCATAAAAAAGTAAGTTTGTAGAGTTCAAATAAAACAATCATTGATGTAAACACACAGAATATATTTGTTAACACAATTTGTTTGAAAGAAAAGCACTGAAAACCAAAGGATAAATCATGAAAAAAAATAAAGAAAATCATGAACTGAATCTAAATATAATTTTATATTTCATAATATATTTACTACAAAATACCTGCACAAAAAAGTATGAGCATACTCTTAGCTTTACTCAGCTTGAATTTAAATGTGAACAAAATTACAAAATAGGACACTCTAGGTCACATTTTAACAATATTTTACAAAAGTACCAAAAGTCAATGCAAAAAAAAATGTGTATTAACCTCAATACAGTATGTACAGTACATAGTACAGAGCTAATTACCATTATTATTGAAACTTCACTTAATTATCATAATGCCTGGCATATATGAATACCCTTGCAATCTTTACTTTCTTTTGAAATCAATTATAGTCTTACATGTACTGTACTACCTTCTGAATGATGTGTTTGGAAATTATAAGAAGTGTTTCACAGCCTTTGAGATGAAGTAAAACAGGGAAGTTGTACTGTATTAATGTAAGTATGGTAGTGTAGTGTAAGGGGATTTAAATATATAGTCACTCAAGTCTTTAAGAACCATGTTATGCTGAACTTTGTTTAAGTCTTTAACAACTCGTGCAACTATCTCCAGTAGCTTTATAAAGCAAATGTACCTATCAAAGTTCAAGTTTCAGATTTATACGTGAATAGTTAACAAGAATTTAAACATTGGGGAGTAAGTTAGTAAAGAGATTAAAAACATACAAAAAGGTAAGAGCAGAGTATTGCATCATAACTTTTGTGCAACAAGTAGGATGTGTCAACTGCATAACAGCAAGTACTGTACTGTACAAAAATAACAAAAGTTGGCCCCGTGCATGGAGAGTGGCTTTAGTGCAGCAACTGAAATCTGTTAGCACTATTGACCTTGATCTTTGGAGGCCCTTTGATCCTAACATCATAGGCTACACCCTCTGTACTACTAAAGCTTTATGAGAAACAATGCATGGAAGGTGGCATTATCACAAGGTAACTTAAATTTTATGTTTAGGGAATTGTAACCCTGACCTGTAAAACTAATATCTAAGGGAACCGTCCTCTTATTGGTAACAAGCAACTTACAGGACAATATATTCATAAGTTCATGGATCTTTCACAACATAATTTGGTAGCCAAAGTTTTCCCTTTATTACACAAACCTTAACTTTTGATCCAGTGACCATAAAATCAAGAACTTCCTCTCCTAGCAGTAAGGTAACTATGCAAGACCATGTTCATTATAGCATGGAAACACGTTACAGTTCAAAGACCAAAACTCTGAACCATCTTTCCCTTCCAAGAGACAAGCATGTTTATTGGTGCAAGGTAGGTAGATACCAGGTAGCCTCACTCCCATAGGATCTACGCTAATGAAAATAAAAATGAAATTTTTATTTACGTATTTTTGAAAGCTTATCATGGTATCAAAAGTTGTACAATAAATGTATGGAATGGAGATTTTTTGTTTTATTTTAATTGGAGCCACTGATTAAATATATGAAATAAATATAAATATCTTACTTCCGACACTTGCGACCGCTGGATTCCATCCAACGTCGCTGATTGGCTAGCGATGACATCACTTATTAAGCTCCGCCCACTTAGTTACATCAAACAGTAGAAGCAGATAATAATACCTCAATATTACTATATTCAAGTCAATTAGGGTGGAATATTATTGTAATACAACAGTTTTTTTAACTGAAAACCATTCGAAAAGCGATTACGGTAAAATGTTTTGAACAACGAAAGAAAGTGAAAGGCGATTGTTTTCGTCATGGTTTTATCCCACGTTCCACTAATATGTACGTCATTTCAGCAAAAATATTACATTTCCGTGAATGTATTATATCAAGCACATTATGAATAGAATATCATTGTAATATAACAGTATTTTAACCAAAAACTATGAAAAAAAACGAGTAACATCTCTTGAACATCGGAAGGTTAGGTAAAGTCTTTTGTTTTCGTCATGTATTTAATTCTATTTTACATAGAAATACATCACGTTTCAGCAAAACTACTATTTATTTCCGAGAATATATTCATTCAGGCGCAGTTTAGGTAAAATATACGTGTGATGTAACCGTTTTTTAACTGAAAACGATTAAAAAAAACACGTGTACCGTCTAGCTGATACTCAACAGCTGGTAGTGCGTCATGCGTCATTGTAAACAAAATGAGGTTGAGGTGGATTACCGGGTATTATATTAAGTGTGAAATATCGAAAAGGTTTTTATTACCGGTATTTTTAATAGATCAATGGGTACTGTAATACCGTATATGATATGATAAGTTAGCCTGTGCTAAGAACTTCAACATGGACTACTGAAAGCAGGTTGTAAGGTAACTTAGCCTATTGTAAGTTGGTGAGCTTCATCTGCTGAAGGCACTGCATAGCTTTTCATTACTAATTGGTACATATTTTATGTTTCCATTGTTTACTGGCAGTAAATGTTAAATATTTTTCATTTCTAAAGCTAAAAGTTGCTCCTTCCCCTTCCCATCATGCACGGATTCAACCTAACAAAACTATTACCCATGTAGAGGTCGACCTCCAATTTTTTGCCTAAAAATTTGGTCTTAAAAACTCGAACTACACACGAGTATATACGGTAATCAAATACCCTGTACTTATTAAATAATCATTATGCTTTTAATCATTAGTCTTCACTTAATACTTTAATTTATGGCACTGTGTTAGTAGCTGTGCACCTCCCCGATTTCTATAATCATTCACTTCACAACATCTGTATAACTAATATCTCCATTAGCCGGAATTCCTCAAACCTGGAACTCTCCGATAGCCCGAATTGAATTTTCTCAGAAAAACGTTCCCAAAGCCGGAATTTTCTGGAAAATTCAGGTTTTGGGAACAATTTTCCAAGGGGGCACGTTTTCCGGAAAATTCCGGGGATAGGGGAGTTTTTCCAGGTCTGAGAGATGTAAATCAGGTGCATTTCCATAAAATCCGAGGATGGGGGATATTTTTCCGGGTTCAAGAGATGATGTAATGGGCAATTTCTGGAACTTCTGAGAACATTCAACACACTTGGGTTTATAATGTAAGGCACATAACTGATCTACAACCCCCATTACAAATAACTGACTAGGCATTGCAACATCTGGAACATCAGTGACATCATTTCAACACCACACATCACACAGCAGTACAATGCACCAATGTCATCATTAAAAAGTCAAGGCTAGCATTTAAAGCTGTCAATGCCAACAAATCAAAAACCCTGAGATGCGTGTAGTACTCACTGCATAATTAAAGGTACCATATTTTGCGGCGTAGAAGATGCACTTTTTATTAAAAAAAATATACCTTGAAAATTACCATGCGTCTTCCATGATGCTAGTTGATGGGTTGTAGTGGAGTTTTTCTTAGGGTCAACTGAAATCAGCCCCTTACAAAGACTGTTACCTCATTATTTAGCAATTACAAGTATTCTCTATATTATAATACAATTTATTTTACTAATATTGTTGATATACTGCAAAAAATATGATTAGTTTCTTAGTAGGTAAGAAATAAAAGATATACGGCTGCAGCTACACAACCCTTGCTGCTGTGCGGTTTGTTTACTAATGGCAGTGGTGCGGCAGCGCCATCTATTGAGGAGTTGCGAAAGGTTGTCTGTTGGTTGTTTGCTTACCAAAAATTTTAATTCAACTGATTT